CAGGGTCGTTCCAATATGCGTTTTTGCTGCCTGTTGCAGCGCTCTAGCGCTGCACGGCAAAAACGCTCCTGTGAAAAAGCGCTCCTCTCCTTTTTTTAGGTCACTCAGTCGGTCAGTTGTGTGGAATTGTTGTGGAGTTTCGAAGGTTCTTGTGGTGGGGGAGTTTCAAGTTGGTCAATCAGCTGTCGTGGATCTCGAACTACTCGGCTTCTTTGGGTGTCATCTCTCGTCGTCGATTCGGGATTCTGCTGGGCTTGCACCGAAGCCTCATTTCGAGCTATTTGTTGAGAGTCGAATAAAGGGAAGTGAAAGTTTGTTGTATTTCAATTGCTTCGATGAAGATTATTAAAAAGAAATTCGGCAAGATTGAGAGGTTTGATCCTTTTGTATTTTGTGGTGAGAAGTTATTGGTTTTCTATCCTTTTCCATTATAAATTAGGAAAGATAAGCTTCCAAAAAAAGGAAATTTCGCCACAGGTACTGCTGGATAGCAATCAAACGTCAAGCGCGTTTGTGCTAGATGCGCCGGCATGAGCTACATACCTCTCAGCACTCAATTTCCACTGCCACAGAATAAAATTGAAAACAGGAATGCATTTTGCTCATTTCCAAAGCGAAATTCCAGCCTATTTTCTTACGTCCTCAAGTGACAATGGGATGGTCAACGGTCAAATGACAATATTTTTACCAACGTTTTGGCCTTCAAAATAGACGTAACTGATGGTACCATCTCCCGAGAAATTTTGAGGAAATAACAAAAATCGGTCTAACTCTGCTGCTTTAACAGATGTTACAGTATCAACTCGCCATGGGTTGCTTTTGCGCACCGTTGGCTAGAAAAACAACTTATTCGCTCGAACAAAACGTTACCTCAACGCAATACTCTTCAACAAGGCAGTAACAGAAGCTTGGGTCAGGGATGTACAGTCCATTTTCACACAACAGAACGTCGTTATCGAAGATGGTTGGGACGCATTCTCCCATAGCCCCAGCACTTTCCTCCTCAGCTTCTGGCTCCTCTGCATTTTGTTTTGTAGCCACTGCTACTGCTGCTTCTCCTTCAGTTGCTGTTTCTTCCGCTTCGTCGGCAAAAACAATTTTCTAAAAATGATGTTTTCAGAACTTAATGCAAATGGTAAACAAAATTGTCAAGTTGCTACAGTCATCTACGTAAGTTTTTCCGGGAAGCTTGTGATCAATTCGTCGAATGGAACTCACTAAATTCGGCTAGGGCGCGGCTTGTTGTTGTGCGCTTCGCTAGCAAAAATTGTTACTAATTTATCATTAAACTGGGATGCCATTTATTGATAACTAATTTTTTTTATGCGTTTTTGCACATATGTAAATTGCAAGAACGCATATTGGGAAGAGGCTGCCTGTGTGTGTGTGTGTGTGTGTGTGTGTGTGTGTGT